CTAATGCTACCCACTATGACTGCTGACGAATGACATGTTCTCAAAAACGTTCCTCTCTCAAATGTGTAAACAAGTCAGAAACTATTAATTCATCCAGTTTTCCAATTTCTTCTCCTTCTGTCCTTTATCCTCCACTGGAGTACTCAAACAACTCATACCAATTCATTGGATATCCTGTCATCAACTACAGCTCAATCTACGACCTTCCCAAAATCATAACTTCAGGGTCTAATTCTTCTTTCCATGTATTTTTGTTCACCCTTTATTTCTCTGACCCTGTGGATTCTAGTGCAAGGAGATCCTAGTTTTACAGTGTAGACCTGATAATGGGAACTCACCAGGGACCCAAGAAATAGTTCTTCTTATCAGAAATTTCTCTTATTCAGAGTTCAAGCACGTAATAATGCATTTACAACACACACTACAAAAATGAATTAATGCTGAATACGACAGATGTATAACAGAAAAAAATATGTAAATCACCAAAAAATGTTAACATGAAAAGTCAGCACAAATGCCTAGAGATTAACAGCTTTTTTCACTTATTTGTTTTTCATTATTCATGAAGACACTGCTTTTGGAATCTTGAACTCTTCTGTTATTTCCATTTTTTTCCCTTCAAATTCTTTTAACAGCTCAATCTGTCTCTTTTTATCCATTTATTTGGGGGTGGTGGCTACTCAATTCTCACACGAACGCACTATACAATTCTGAAAATAGCCTAAAAGTTGAAATAATGTTGAGGAATTTAAAGAAAACAAGTTTGCCGTAAGCAAATCATATTATACATATTGGACTTTTTATCGTTCAGCATATCGACAAAATTTGCAGTTAAATAATTCCACTTAACCAAATTTTTTTTTTTTTCAAAGACAAAGAAAAAAAAAACTTAGCCATATCCGAGACTGGGTAAGTGGTGTGGACTGTTCTATCGTCAAGTTTTTTGCGATGTGTGTCCTATGCCGTGTCAATATTTTTTATCCTTGTTCCTGTTTCAATCAAATAAGTATAGTTCCCTCAAAAAGCTACAAATTAGCAAAGCCTATTATTCTATCTGTATACATTTAATAAATGCAGTACGAGAATCATTATCAACATGTGCCCTGCCAAAAAGAGTAGGCATACATAACACGCCAACTGATATAGTCACCTATCTTGAATTTAGCCTGCTTTTATTCTACTAATGCCGTCTGGCCAAGCTACGTAGGTTTTTATATCTCTGGTATTAGACTGGCTTTTTTCCCCAGTCTGTCACCATGCTTTTAATTTCTTATTGTAACATGCCCTTATGACTACAGATAATTGTTCTACAGGTTCTATTTTTTTCAATGGACCGTCAGATAAACCAGGGATAAATAAAACGCTACCAATGGACTCAAATGGAAAATGATTTGATAATTTTTATAAACAAACAAATTTTGCAGACATTCGTGTTTAAAAAAATATTAAAAGTCAGTGCACAGATATGCAATGTCTGTCCATTAACATAATTACCTGGTGTAACATTACATGAAGATCAAGTTACATAAGTGCTTATTGCACAAAGAAAGTCATATCAGAAAAACAAAACAAAAACTATAGAAGCAAGCACTTAATGCAGCAAAATTAATTTCATTATTACAAATTGTGGAGACGAATAAAGGACGTTTAGTATGAGTCTCATGAAATGAAGTAAAACACCAAACAGTAACTGAATTATTATTCATAGCAGTAATAATAATACAACAGTGAGACACAACACTGAGACTTCAATGATGACCACTCAAAACCATTGTTTAACAGAGTAACTGCTAGGGTGTGTAACTTGAACCTGATGTCTGTAGAAATTTTTTTTTAATGTCTAACACTAGACAGAACACAGCAAGAAACAACACTATATTCTGAAGAATGTCTTATCCCTTAAAGTCCATTGTGTCCGAATTGTCTGCCAGTGTCCCTCTGCCACCTGTAAACAGAGTCCAACATGTGTCCGGTAAACCAAACGTAAGCTTGCCACTTGGTCGTCCAGGTATGCAGACTGCTTTAATTATGCTACCGCAACGACTTCTTATTTCACAGTACCTTTTGCAAAGTCACCAATTCGTTTTGTCCCTGTCCGATAACATCTGGTAATACAAGCAGCAGGGGAAACCAACCCTGAGCCTTATGAACTCAGGTGGGCCCACTCTCTGAAAATGTCTAGGAGCTTGTGGGCCAAAACATTTGTCGACAAGAGGTTGCTTCTACTGATGATTGGTAGACTCCTGCTGTACATGCTCCCCTGTGGAGTTTCTTCTTATTGCATAGGCCACAGCAGACTACAAATATGCAAATGACCCTTTCAAGCCATTGATAGGCAAGCTAAAGTATAAATAAATCTAGATGAATCAGCATTCAGTGGGTGATGTGGTCAACATCAAGCCAACCATCTATTTTTCAGGGCATTTTCCAGTACCCAGTTGAGGCTGATTCGTCGTTACAGTTCTCCTAAGACAGGCCATTCTTCACAAAACAAAAACCAGCCAAACTAACTAGTGTATTTTTTTAAATGGCTTCCAAATGCCAAAACACACATTGCAAAATTATGCTCTTCTGGGTGACTTGCCAGCTAAACCATGTGATGACTTCCAGTCAATATAGCAGACAGGCAGGTTTGCTGTTTTTAGTTGTGACAAGTTTTTCTGACAATAGATGGCTGTTGGATTTTCATACGCAGACTGAAAGGATAAAGTTCCGTCACCCATCTACTGAGCTGAGTGTATGGCATGCCACCGTGAGCTGCAGATTTCAATTTGAACGCTTTTGAACGGTGTCCAACATGGTTTGTGTTGTAAGGTGTAGATTCAGAAAATGCCAAGTGGCCTGTTGCAACAGAAATGGTGGTGCCTTATGTGATTAATCACATGTGCAACTAACAACCAATCTCTTGTAACTGCTGCTTCCATTGATGACGGACTGCATTTCAAGAATAAGAGCATTTGTGCTGATGCTTCTGAAGGCTGTCTTATACATATAATGCATGTGTATACTATTAGATTTGCTGAAGCTGCAGCCTGTGCCTATTTTCCCCCACAAGAGACACTGATGAACATTCTGTGGGGCTTTTATTGGCAGAGGAAGGCAGCAACTATGGTGTGACCAATCGGATATGAAGTTGAAACTGTGGTTACCTGATTAGTTTAAAAAATGTAAAGATCCCTTACAAGCCAATGGCGCACTGAGCAAAAGAGGTCAGACACATATGTTTATAGATCAATCGGCACTCACTGCGCAGGCCACATTTACTTCACAGGACTTTACCTGGCAACCATGCAAAGCTGGGTCGACCTGTGAGCCGAGGCCACGTAAAAAAAAAAACAAATTAGCTCAAAATTCATTTAAACCTATGATCTGATCTGCAGGACAGCATCTAGCCACTGTGCCATGGCAGCTCCTTACCACCTGATTATTTGAGCTAAATCTAGCCTGAGGAGACAAGTGGATGAGAAGCTGTGGAATACCATTACCAATGCCTGGACCACTCAAGGAAGCCACTCACCTCTCTGTTTAGATTAATGAGCAGAGGAGACTGACTGCAAGAAAAATGTTATTTTCACAATAATAATAAGCTGTAACAGAGTCTCATCGTCCGTCGCCTAGTAGCTAGCAGCTCTGCCTCTGACTCAAAGGTCTCGAGTTTGAATCTGCAATGAGTCAGTTTTCACCAAAAATCTTGGCACCCAGGTCGACCGAGCCAAAACTGGGTACTGGGTAAATAGCAGGGACGAAGGTGCAACTGGTCTGATACTGGCCTGATCATTCACTGAGGCCGACTGGTCTATAAAAACAAGAGTCTAACATCAAGTGCATGATGCACCATTTTATAACATATTCTATGCTCATTCTGACATGTTTATGGCAAGCAATTTAAAACCATTAACATTTGTATATAGGCAGCTAAATAAATCAACAGATAGATCAATCAAGAGACTAATAATCTGACAGTTGTCATTTCTGTAAACACTTTAATACAAGCTTGTATACTGGACTAATAGAAAGTGTAAAATATTTCCCAATTTAAAAATAAAGATGACATGGCAAAAAACCAAAAATGAGTCATGGAGTAAATTGAATGAATGTTCAGGCCAATTTTCTCGGTGGATTTTGCAACAGATGAGACGAACAGAATCAAATTTACTGTCCACAAGCTGGTGTTGCAAGTCAAATTCATCATCACTATCAGCAACGATTCTCAAGCCTCCTTACAGCACAATACAAAACTAGAATCTGGAAAGACAGAAAGGTGGCAAAATAATGTGGGTTAGAAGTAACAAAAATGAAAGACTCACTGGAAGAGGAGGAGACTAACATAAAAGTGGACAGATGACATTAAAGAAACTGTGGGTATAATATTTATAAGAGGCAGGAGAACTGTTAAAGAAAATGCGTTTTTCTAACAAGTCATGAGTCTAGAAAGAAACAAACGCATACACACACAAAAACCCCTGCTTCATGTTGCAGATGATGAAATCAAAATACAAAATAAAAATATTCACCATACTAGTCCCACAAACATATGTTCGTAGAAGTGTTGCAGAACTCGGAAAACAATGATGAGGATTTGTAACCAAGAATGTTCATTAACAATGCTTTTGTTTGGTGAATGCAAATACAGATGCATATAACTACAAATTTACAAGAACATTTTTTTTTTAAAGTGTTGTATCATGAACAATGTAAAGAGGACAATTAAGATCAGGGGCTACCACAACCAAAATGGGGGGGGGGGGGGAGAGGGGGTGAAATAACAAAGAGGGAGTGAAATAACAAAGACGGGCAACATTTTTATAGACTAACCACAGCTCAAATGTGGTCAGTCTGACCACCCTTACTTTTCAAAACGTTTCCTGGTTCCAATTTTAAGTTCAACCAGATTGCCCAATTAGTCATGACTCATTTACATAAATAAATAAATAAACGACAAATGGGAAGACATAGAGACACATACAAACTGACAGACTTTTAAACCTCACTCACAATAATTATGTTAAATCTATGCTTGCACTGATTCCATCTAACTCTGGACACGGCAAGAAACAGTTACATTTGCCGTGATCGGCCACAACCAGGTCATAATGATTTCCGTTAGTGTTACACAGTGTTATATAACATAAGTGCTTGGCAAAACTGACTGGAACATGCATGCTTTTGAAGACAGGTTTAAACAACAGCCAGGAGTAGTTTTTGTTCAACGGGTGCGGGGTCAGAACATAGACGTCTCTCTGTAATACAGTGGCAGCCGCGTAAATCTCACAGGTGGTTGCCCAACAGTGATCTTCTGACATCTTTTGTACGTGGGCCTGGTGAAACAGCAAAAATCTGACATCAGAGATACACCAGCACAACACAGTCGCTGAAAACATTCATCCGTAAAATTATAAGGTTAATATAACAGATCAATCAGTCTACTGAAATCAACAGTCCATCTAACCAATGACTTTATATGTCTTCTTCTTTTGTCAAAATCTGCTTGTGCCGCTAGGCGTCGCAGTCTATCAGATGATCGGCAACCGAGCCAGGGCGCGCTCAGTCGCTTCATATGCCGTGATGTTATGAAGTCTCAAGTTGTCCGTGACTCCTTCAATCCATCTTCTTCTTTATATATACATATGTTAAAAATCAAATCTATCGGTTTATGACAATATATGACAGCACGCATGAGCCTGTCAATTAAAGCAGGAGCCTGTAATTATGGAAGTGGAAAAAAATGCAGAATAAGCAAAAAACCAATATCATATCTCTGACAGAAGGTTTGTATGGTTAACAAACTGCAGGGAAGACATGCCGTCGTATTAATCATTTTACAACTGGCATCATCAGTATGGCAACACTTTGTTGGTTCCTGAGGCAAGGGACAGACAGAGCAAGGGAGGGAATGCCTCAAGCGCAATAATGGCAATTCTTGATTTATTAATTCTATCGATATTGGTTAAAAATCCAAGCATGAGTAAAATAATTGGGTGTGATGAATGATTTTTGCAGGGATCAGGGGGAAAAACACAGCAAAATAAACCTTATTAGAATATTGAATTAGAACACATACTTAACACATTTGTCCCAGTGACTTAGAAAAAAACAAAAAACAAAGCCAATGACAATTATTTCAAGAATTGTAGGGGAAAAACCTTTTTCACACCTCACACAAACATTCCTAAAAATTTTACTTCTGAACAAAACCAATTTCCATGAAGAATAAGACGAGTAATTAGTAAACAGGAATGCAGCAGAAAATTTACTTACTTACCTCTTTCTGACCACTAAAATAAGAAACATAGTCACTCCTCATACTTGGCCCCCTGACCCAATCGCCATGTTACCATGAGTGATTATGGGAAATTACGACATGATAATTTATATTTTAAAGCTATTTGTTCACAACAGTCCCTCCCTCCCCCCACCCCCCTTCCACCACCAAATTTTTCTCCAATGCTTTTTTATCAAATATAATAATTCTCCATGCTCCTGAACCAATGTGAAGTAGCCAATATAGCAAGACGGTAAAGCAACAAACAGGGCAAAAGAGCTAACGGCTTGAGGAAAAACAGAAAGCAAGCAGAGACTAAACCATGCTGAAAGCACTACAATAAATATCAATATGAATGAATTTAATTCCAATGGGCCAAGTTAGAAGCTAGAAGGTAAAATCTTCAAGAGAAAACAGAAGCTCTGAATTCTGAAAACAAAAAACAAAAAAACACAAGAAAACTAAAAGGAACCACACAGTGGGATAAATGAAATCAAATAAGCATACAAGAAATTCCTGAATATATTTAAAATGCATATTATCTATATATATAAAAATCAATGTTTGTGTGTTGTTTATGAGCTATAGACTCGGAAACTACTGAACCGATTTAGCTGAAATTTTCAGAATATGTTTGTTTTGATACAGGATGTTTACCCATCATGGTTTGAAATTCTACCTGTCATTGTTAGAGATAGGTGACCACATTTGTTGCAAAAATCTTCTAAACTAATTTTTCCATTTTACGCGGCATTTAATTATAGCCACGTTAGTAAATGCGCATGTGCGATCGACTTTCACAGTGCATAATACGCAGTAGACACGGGACGCTCCATTTTTTAAATCTGCCCGTACAGCAAACCAAACTATCTCTATATCGCTGATTGCGACGTTAACTATATTATACACGATTTCTATTTTCTTTCTTTTTTAAACAACGTTCGATGAGTTAGAGAGTAGTCGGTGGATTTGAGAGAGGGGAAGAGAAGGGGTGGGGGAGCGATCTATGTCTGCGTAGACAATTATTGCGACATTTACCGTGTTAGACACGTATGATTTCTATTATTGTGCTGTTTCAATAATACTTGAAGTTTATATCTGGGATATCTGTTAATGAGAAAACAATTGCCTGTGGTTCTGAGTTGTGTTAGAATCAGGACACACATCTTGCGTAGTTTTGTAATCTTTTCGAAGTTCAGAAGCAGTGGTTGGCTGGTCAAATGGTTAGTACACTGGGTTCCCGTGCGGGAGACTAGGGTTCAAATCCCCACTACGGCAGTTTCCTTTTTTTTTTTACCTGGGAGCAGAATAAAACCCAGACCTGCTCTGTCGTGGCGACAGCACTAGCCATGTGGCCATAAAAACTATTTAAAAAAAAAAAATACAGGTATGTGGGTAAACCAGTTGATAATTAAATTTGACCATTTCGCATACTTATTTCTTTTCAAACATTCTGATTGCATGGTAACGCTGAATTTTCGTAGATTTCCATTTATTTTCATTTCGATTTAATTATTTCTTCTGACATTGCGTTGGAATTGGGAGTGGTGTGGGTGGCGGGGGGGGGGGGGGGGGGGGGGGGGGGGCATAAACTGGTAACTGAAAGAGCTTCAAGTCAAAGTAACTGCCTTACCAACTCAAAGTAGCAGTAGTAGTAGTTGTGATTGAGCGGTTACACTGTAGTGTTGTCATGCCGGAGACTGCCGGTAAGGTGATGGCATTTTTCTGTCGGGGAGCGAAATTACACATCCTAACCTGACCAGTCCGTGCCGACAGCATTAGCTTTGCAGCGCCAAATCCTCTGGCTCATGTCTACTACTATGGTAAAACAAATAGCAGTGACATTATTTTATTTATTGTGGTAGCGGTGGTGGTAGTAGTTGTACTGGTACTTGAAGGATAGTGTGGTAAATATTACACTAGCAGCATTTACTACTCATTACAATTCCTGCTCCCTATTTTAGTCCGGATATCAACGTCAGTTACAAAAAATATCGTTGGGTGATGACTTTTAAATCCTTTGATAAGAGAGAGAGCAGATGGGGGAGGGGAGGGGATGATGACAGAAAATGTTAACCTAAAGAGCTTAACGCATGATTTTAAAGTTTTCATTTCTTAATTTGTTTATAATTTACTAATGCTACCTCCGCTATTCTCATTTTTTTTACGACTTACTTGGTTATTTACAAGTACAGTAGTGAGCTTTACTTCCGTTTCTTAAAAATAAATACAATCAGCTTAAGCATGTGATAACCAAATAACCATTTTTTTACTGTGCTAATAATACCATTTAAACGACCACTAATATAAAGACGCAGTTATATGTTGCGTGTTCTAAAGTGGCAAACCAGACTATCTCTATATATGTGCAGAGAATGATTGCGACATTAACTATATTAGACTTTGATGAGGGAGCCAGTAGTAGGTGGATTTGGGAAGGGGGGGGGGAGGCATCGAAGACTATCTCTGTATGTGCGCAGACAATGATTGCGACAGTAACCATATTAGACACGTGCAATTTCTATTTTCTTTCTTTTCCATTTAGCCAAACTATGCCACAGCAACGCGTTGCCGAGTACAGCTAGTTCAGTATAAAATACAACACTATAAGAACTAGGTAAGATGCCAAAATCCAGCAATTAAAGGCCACCATAAAGTGAAATCAACCCCTTCTAGTGTTGATGGGGAACACAAGTACTGGGAAAACAAAGACATTAGATAAATACAAGCAGGAAGAAGTTCCTCAGTAAGCTGTTACCATATAAAAACACTGTAAAATCTAGCAATTAGGCAGTAGCAAAAAAAAAAAAGAGCAGTTTTTTCATCAAACCAAATGACTCCGCAGACGAGCCAGTGATCTGACTGCACTGATGGTCACCAAAAGACAGATCCAGAACCCCAGGGATTGAAGAAAAAAGACTACAGGTCCATAGGAAGACACAAGTGAACCAACAACAACAAAATGAAGACTTTTCACACCAGTGGCTCATCAGACATGAAGCTAGAATCATATTTCAGTACATCAATCATTACTCAATGGGTGATGTGGTCAACTTTACTTCCCAGGTACCCATTTTTAGGCTGGGTCAACATGAGAGCCAAAGTCAATTTGATTTAATCTGCCCTGAGTGGATTCAATCCCAAGAACTTTGGATGAACAGCCAAGAATCTAGTCATGCTGCCACCTTGGCTCCTACTGTTATGATGATGCGATTAAACAAAATATATCGCACTGGTTAAACAAGATTCTTCATTTAATGTAACTGGCAAACTATATTCATGATACTGAGCCAATAACACAACAACAACAAATAGAAGGAAAGAAATGTCCTTTTACATCCTATCTAACTGGAATCCAGAACAGCTTATCTCATTACTCCTTCATTATCATTATTTCTAACCCACTGGGACATTTAATATGATCAAAGAATTTCAGTTTCTGGTATATGATGCTGTTTTTCTCATCTACTGCAACAAGCAGAGAAAATCAATCTTAACATTAAGCATCATTTTTGTGTATAAGAACACATAAAATATTGTATCTTATAACAGTTACGCGATTACATGATTATGTAACCATATGCAATTGTCATGGAATGAGCAGCCACCATACACATTTGACGAGTCGGGACTTGATATCCCTCGCGCTCAGCAAAATTTCAAACTTAGACCCGGCCGGAATGGTATATAGTCCTTTTTATTGATCTATACCTTTATCTGGTAATATAGTACTTTCTGGACCCTCTAGTTGCTTTGATATATCTTCATTTTCAAACTTGCAACTGTAGATTGGGTAATTCTGGTGTTTTATTTGAAAATTTTTGGAAACCGGTTTACTCCTTGGTCATTAATACAAGGAACTTCTTTCCTAGTGACGCGGGTTTGATTTTGAGAATGCCATTCTTTTGTCTGATCCCAAAGTGTCAAGACGTATATCCAATTTTGATAGAATTTGGCGCATTCTTGGTTCAAGTTCTAACTTGGAAGATTTCCTAAGCTTGGGAGGAGACCTCTGTAGAGATCAGGCAGACGAATCACAGTCCAGCCAACAACCACCAACCCATACCATTCTAGGCACCAAGCAGAACCTAGAAGTCCTGCCCGCTTTGCCTCTACCTCAACATGGCAAGAGCGTGTGTGTGAGCTCCAAGACGAGTGGACCTTTGCAGACATTTGTGTCCTCAACCTAGTGAACCAGTCTTCAAGAGCTTGGTTGAGCTCTGAGGCAGTTTGTGATCCGACCTGTGAGAGAGACTTGTTGAGTCCCTGTGCAGTTCTGGTGTCCTCGATGGGGAGGTAAACTGGTACCAGATCAACTAGAGACAGATACCTGAGTCAACTACAGTCGAATCACCATGGACTGAGGGGAGCATCGATCTAAGAACTGGGTTAAGTTACAGATGTATCACCATTATGCTCTTTTCCCACAGCTCCTCATAGTTCCTAGGACGGGTCCATGTGTTCATCAAGACTAAATCATCTGGCTGCTTCAATGTCTGGGTCGTGTCACTGAGTCTATGAACATTCTTGAGAATCTATTAATTCAATTCATGTGTACATAATATACTTATTACATATATTCATTTTCATGGCTGACTTGGGTGTCCCTGTTTCACCTTTCTAACTGTTTAGCATTGATTTGTGTGAGTAATAAGTGTTACCTGTGTTAACATGGTTATGATAGTAAACTATCATAACCTGGGAGCTATCTTTTTATAGTAGTGGGGGCGTCCAGCCAAGTGTGCCTAGGAATATTATATATATATATATATATATATATATATATATATATATATATATATATATATATATATTTTGTAGTGCCACGTATATTGGCCACGGGGCATCCCTTAGACCAGTACGAGCCAACGACTCAACATAATTATTTCTGAGTGCTGTTGGTTCTTAAGGAGAAATCCTTAAATCAGGCAAGCGACAGGAGTGAAATGTGACAGCAATCTAATGGCAAAATGGCTACTAAAGATGTGAAGTGTTAGTCTTTCCCACTTACTGGGTCACATAATAGTAGGCCTCTACACATACCAGGTCACATAAAGACAAGCCTTTACACAAACTAGGTCACATAATAATGATGTAAGAGTAGTAGTTCCTTCCTTGTCAGTTTTCTGTCGTAGCCGTCATTACAAGTTTTTAACACTTTCTGTCCCAGACAGCTGTCATATTAACCTACTCTGTCTTGTCTGTTCATTTCATCCCTCCTGTGTGGTTAGCATTCAGACAACTCTCTGACTCCAAACTATATTTACTGCTTTAAATCCCTGTGTGGGTTCAGGGTATTTGGGGGAGGGGGGATGGGAAGAGACACCCCTGCCCCTAAAAAAGAGCATGTCACAAAAGTAAACCAAATAGGGGTGTTTCTTTCGAAGTCGGAGTGCATGGAAAGAGTGAGGAGACAAAAGTGTGCATACAAATAAGCCAGATTTGTAGAACAGATGTGCACATAAAACTCTGAAACATAACTACTGGAACCAGACTAAAGTTCAGAAGTGGACAAACAACCAGAATTTTTCAGAGTTTACAGCTGGCAAACATTAAAAAAGAGACTGCTTGAAAGTAGCAAACTTTTTAGGACGTAGTTAACTAAATTTTTTTTAACATATTGATTAACAAGTGAACGAGAGTTCCTTGGGATAGAATATGTTGAAGTATTCATTCACAGTATCCTATAATCAAAGTCAACAATTACACAAATCACATATAATCAGCAAGGGTAATGAAAATGAATACTGCAGGATTTGGCAATATGAAAAATAAATAAGGTAGCTTGGGAATCCTACAATGAACCAACGTATCTCAACCAGATTCTATTTGTCAGATACTACTATTACAGACAAGGGACAAGAGTGTCATGTTTATAAATTATTGCAGGTAGAGGTTGTCTTCACTCTGCAAAATCTTATTATTATTGATTTATTGTCTTTCTCACGTTTAGAAACTATAATATAATTATAATTATTATAGAAACATATCCAAACCAGATTCTATTTGTCATTTTTATGGTAGCGACTCTACTATTACAGACAAGGGAAGAGTGTCATGTTTATAAAACATTGCAGGTAGAGGTTGTCTCTGCCAAATTTTATTATTATTGATTTATTGTCTTTCTCAAGTTTAGAAACTATTATTTGCCTTTTTAGTTCATGTCAAATAGAACTTGATTTATTTCTATATGCTGTCACAGGAAAGATTATTGTTTTGAAAGTTCTAACTTGTAAGTATTTCCTGGTGCTGTGTCAGACAGTCGTAGTGCAGTTTAACCTCTGCAATGCTAGTGCCTGATCCCTAACAACATTATTTTGCATATTCCCTATAACAATAACACCATGGACTTACCAGAACATCATTCTCATCGACAAACTGTGCAAATTTGCTCTTATTTGTGGCTATAATGTCAACGATGAGTGACCGCACCGCTGCGTGATAAGTTTCACAGCCATACAAAATTTTGCTCAGTGCTCGGAAAAAGCAATTTCCATCACCAGTGATGAAGTGGATTTTCCTATTTTCCAGTGCTAAAATCGTTTTCAGTTCTTCATAGACTGGATGATCAGGAGGTGGACTGTCCTTCAGCTCTTCAACACAACATTCTGCAGTTTTTGAAAGCCCTGAAGTCCTAGGTACCTCAATGTTTGAAAGATTAACATCATCTGTATCCTCAATATTTAAGGAAACCAGGCTGCAACAACTATCAACTTCTGAACTAAATGCTCCAGTACTGGTGGACTTTCTGTTTGGAGTCGCTCCTAGTTCAGACTCTAAATGTTCAACCTCAATAACCTTTGAGACATTTTCTTTGTGAACACCATCTGGGTCAGAAGATTGTTGCAATGAACATTCAGAATCCGGAATGATGTCATCTATGTGTATGGTTTCCTGATCATCATCAAGTGTGATAACAGAATTTGTTCTCGTTTTACCAGTGCAGACCAACCTGTCATTTGACACTGATGGACACATTTTTTCAGAATAATTTTTGTACTGATTATGTTTTTTACTGTTAGGAGATGCTTTGTCAAGTCTTTTTAAATGTGCCTTGTTCACTTTAGAGAAGCATTCAGTAGATGAAGGCCGCACACAGACAATACTGTCATCATCGACTGTGATTGCAGAATCTTTTGTTGTATGTTTTCTGTCAAAGGTACTCTGGGATTTATGCTGGAAAAGGGGTGATGCTGATGATTCCCCCGTAATGTCAACTGTGTCTGGTTCATCATCATCATCCAGAACAATGGGATTAGCTTCATTAATGGATTCTGCTTTGCTATTTCCCTCCCTACCTTCCACTATAATTGGGATTATTCTGAAATTCCCAGATTTTTGCTGGTTATCGTCATTAGGCTGTCTGAGATGTAGGGTTTTACAGCGATTGTTGCCAGGTCGGATCCCGTCAAACAGAGATGGAAACATTGAACCTATTTCTTGGGGTCCCTCAGTCAAATCTGTAATAAATCAATATGATAATACTGAATATTTAAAACAAGCAATGCATTTTGTTAATCAATGTGCTTTTCTTTCAAACTTTGTATACTAATATCTTAATGTAGTTACTCTAGAATCACATCCATGTTTGTGTTGTTCTATTTCTTTTTGTTTACCAATGAAGGTCAGTGAGTCACAACAAATTCCTTTATTTATTGTATCTTTGTAAAGCACACCTATACTTAATGTTTTCTGTTGATCTATTTTTCTAGGCATCCATGGTAAAGTTGTAGCTAGATACTTGCCTGCTGGTCCGAATGTCCTGGGTTCAGGCTGGTTGATCCAGCCTAAAATGGGTATCAGGGAGTGTCCTGGAATGTAAAGCTGAGTAGTGTACTACTGACCACATCACACATAAAGTGTTGACTGTTCTATTGTCACTATGATGTTAGTGTGAACAGGGTCCTTTACTTTTACTCTCTCTCTCTCTCTCCCACCAAACCTACATACATTACACACACACTGTCACTATGATGTTAGTGTGAACAGGGTCCTTTACTTTTACTCTCTCTCTCTCTCCCACCAAACCTACATACATTACACACACACTGTCACTATGATGTTAGTGTGAACAGGGTCCTTTACTTTTACTCTCTCTCTCTCTCTCCCTCTCTCCCACCAAACCTACATACATTACACACACACAGACATGATTCACAACACACAACCAATATAACAGTCACAGCATTCTTACCACATACCTTTAAAAAAAGCCCCTTATACTCAACATGTTTAATTTAAAGCAAAAGATGGCTTTTCCACTGAAACAAATGGACAGGAAGTTCAAGAGAAACCCTAAAATGAAATTTAATGACAGGCCAAAGGTTCTGGACTGGATTCCGTCCATATGGAAAGGAATGGACAAAAAAAAACATAATGGAGAAATAGACAAGCCCTATCAAATGGCACAGAAGGATGAGGATGTCATTATCATACTTTTCTAATTTATTAAGGCATATTCTGTATATGGTCATCATAATGCACATTATCACCAATTTCCACTTCTGCTGTTAAGCGCTGTGGGAAGGGAGTTTGCGACCCACTGCTTGATCATCAAGTTGATGGGCAGCAATGACTACCGGGCAATGGCTATTGTCATACCATGTTGATGTAGAAACTCTTGAATGACATCAATCCATCTTCTAGAGCGGCTTCTTGATTTCACTTCTGATCTGTTCATGTGAACCGCCTGCATTGGTAGTTGTTCTGGCTGCATTCTTACTAGAAGACCAAACCATATTATCTTCTGTTTCTCAATTAATTTGCTGCATGGTGTTGTTCCTACTACTGTATGTGTGATAATTTAAATTTTAGCATTGTCTCGCATGGTTAAGTTGGCAGGTTTCTCGAGCATCTCATTTTACATCCTCCGAAAATATACCCTAACAGGGAATCAGTCACATGTAAATTGCAGACTTCCGGCGACTTAAATTGCGGACTTCCGCGACTACCTCCACCACCGAGAGTATCTCCCCCGCCGCTTCGCGCGGAGTGGGGCTTAACTAGATAGCTGGGACTCAAGAGCAGCCACTACCGCATCTCTTGCAGCTTCCATCATTTTATTTGCTCTTGAGTCCCAGCCATCTAGTTTAGCTCTACTCCGCGCGGGAGATACTCTCGGAGGTGGTGGTAGTCGCCGAAAGTCCACAATTTACATGTGACTGAGACGCTGTTAGGGTATATTTTCGGCCTCGATAATTTAGGATCGTTATTCGGAGGATAGCCATTTATTATTATTATAAATATAGGCTCTCCTCCGAACTTCTATCCCCGCATTATGGCGGCCTGAAATATCCGTTCGGGGCTCAGTCCAATGAAAAATGCGGACTTTCTGCCAAGGAACAAATCGCGGCTAGGATTACTTGACAATTACTAGAGACGATAGTAGCAGACGATAAAAGCGACCAGTGACAATGTCGAGCGTTTCTGCAGACGATACTAGCAGACGATAAAAGCGACCGTTGACATTTTCGAGACATTACAGACAATGAAAGCGATATGGCGAGTAGACCACATGCTCCCACGCAGATTAGCAATACTGTTCTTCCAATTTAGGATTTAGCAGCGGTAAATGTCAGACTTGTCAGCATGCGAAACACGATTAAATTCACTGCCAAGTGAATCCCCCGCGCCGCTATGCTAAACTAGGTGCCTGGGACTCACGAGCAAAAGTAATTGGAGGAAGTTGCAGGAGATGCGGTAACTGCTGCTCGTGAGTCACAGCCATCTAGTTTAGCCCCTATCCGCGCAGCGCATAGCGGCGCAGGGGATACGGTCGGCGGTGAAGCATAGTCACAGAAACAGGTCTGCAAGTAACATATCGCTGAGACCCTGTTAGAGCATTTGTTTCTTTTTTCCAAGCCGATCCTAGATTTGCTGCGATTTGTTCGTCGGCAGAAAGTACGACAAGTCCACATTTTACATATTTGTTCCTCGGCAGAAAGTCCGACAATGAAAAGCGTCAACCGTCGCTATTATCGTCTGCAGTGTTGCGTCTCCGTCTCTTAGAATTGTCAGGTAATCAGAAACAATAAGAAACAAGTCCGCAAGTAACATATCGCTGAGACCCCGTTAGAGCATTTGTTTCGTTAAACGGAGCCGGCATATTTTTAATAGAACTGAGCCCCGAAGGGATATTTCAGGCAGCCATAATGCGGGGGTAGAAGTTCGGGGGAGAGCCTAAATATGAATATAATACTAAGCCTTTTATACGTTCAATTCAATATAAATTATAAATAACATAATTCTGAAGTAAATTAATATTATTAACAATTCTTTCATATTCGTTTAATCCTCACTTACATTTATTAATAAAGGAGTCTGTGCCACGAAAAAAATGGCTAAATAGAGACGGCCTGGGAGGGAAGTAGGAGCCAATTCTCCTGTGTAGGAAGTGATCTGCCAGGGCTGGCTTCAATTTGTCAACAGATACCTTCCCCATGGTTAACGTTGCAAAACTGAGCTGATTTCGCTTAAAAGAAGCTTCGGTGTGAGTCAACACATTCAATATGTAGCGTCTATTCTACTCTGATAAAAGCGATGCACAAGAAGCAGGATAATAGAATGTCTCAGTAGATAATTTACTCCAAAACGGAAACTTTACAGACGTCCCTTCCTGCTTTTTTTTTTAAGAACTGAAAATTTCCAATTCATGGAAATTTCTATAAAGAAGTGTTTCCTGCGTCACGCGCATGCGCAGTTATCAATCAAGCAATAGACAAAGGGTAGAAATGTATGGCCAGGAACTCGGACGGTCATTTCTCACGTCCTTCTTAGGACGTTATTTTTTGTTATTTGAAGCCCCACTCTGGCTTTTGCCAGGGGCCGCAATATAGGCAGGTCATCATTATGGCCAAATGTCTGAACGCGGTTTCTGGGACCTCTCCACGGTGATCCTCATCCGCATGGTGGCACTTTGTGTCATCGGGTGTTTATCGCTTGTGTGATGTCCTGGTGGGGTAAAAAGCCAATCCACTCGGACGGTGTCGGGCCATGTTATAGGTTGTAGACAGTGGCGTAATAGTACGGTGATGTTGGAGATTCTTAATTTTTATCTTACTCTCCAGATGACATGACAGGACAGTCCAACATTTTAGAGGGTGGAAAGACTGAGTTTCCTGGCTTTTAACAACCCCAAAACATCTAGAACTGGCCCTAACCCCAACCCACCTACGTCCCACGAGAGAGTACAGGCCAGGTCTCACGAATGCATGCAGCTTAGTCCCATGACTGCATGCAGCCTATCTACCACCCCCTGAAATAGACTGTCCCTTGACCTGTGGATTTCCCCTGTTTGGGGTAGGATATTAATAAAGCACCCTGTTGGAATTACAACGACTTCCTTTTATATTATTAAATTGTTATCCTTTACGTCCTTCTCAGGACGTAATTTTTTTGTTATTTGAAGCCCCACTCTGGCTTTTGCCAGGGGCCCCAATATAGGCAGGCCATAAAAATGGCCAAATGTCTGAACGCGGTTTCTGGGACCTCTCCACGGCGATCCTCATCCACATGGTGGCACATTGTGTCATCGGGTGTTTATCGCTTGTGTGATGTCCTAGTGGGGTAGAAAGTCACTCACTCAATTAAAACGACTGGTAGATATTGCAGTTAGTTTACAATGATAGTTCTGTAGATTGGGGTGAGAATCTAAAGACCAAAGAGGAAAGCCGTGGTATAACAATGCTTTCTTTATCTACAGGCATTAGGATGGAGAAGGAAGTACCCTTAAAAGTAGCTGAAAAGTTACCAGAGGATTTATTGGGCTTGATTCTTAGTCGGTATTGCGGAAGGATGAAAAAGAACATGTATGGCATGTAGCCTCACCCCAGGAAAAAATACGTAGTACTGTCTACAAAGTGTCTATTACAATAGTACTGCAGAAAAAGGATGCCTAATAATGCGCCGGTAATGTGTACCATTACTTACCGTAAATTTTTTTTTAAAGCCCTGGTGACATAGATGGTTATCACATCATCACGTCACTTTAACTATCACATCACGTCAACTTTCACATCGTCAAATCAACTATCACATCATCACGTCAACTAGCACTCCACGTCAACTATATGATTATCACATCACGTCAGCTATAAGATCACCACATCGCATCAACTATCAGATGATCACATCACGTCAACAAGCCAACAATCAGATCATCACATCACGTCAACTATCAGATCATCACAACACGTCAACTATCAAGTCATCACATCACGTCAGCTAACACAGAAGTCAACATTACAGGGACTGTCGTGGATATGCTTTTCCAGACATACAGGTGTACGAGGCAATTAAAAGGTGAATTCTTTGGTGACACAGGCGACAGCAGTGGAAACACCCCTATTGATTGTTTGATCAGTTTATCCCCTTCCGCTGTTGCCTTAAGGTCTATAACGCCATCCTGAGATTTGAAACAAAACTTAACCTGGATAACAAACTAGCGAGGATGATCCTAGAGTGCTTTCCCTAATATCCCCCCACACCCCCCTCCCTACCTTCCCCCAGGATGACGTCACAGGACAGTCCAATATTTTCGAGGGTGGAAAGAGCGGGTTTCCCGACTTTCTGATGCTTATAACAACCCCAAAACATCTAGAACTGGGCCTAACCCCAACCCATCTACGTTCCACGAGAGAGTGCAGCCTGTCCAATGACTGCATGCAGCCATCGTCCCAGTACTGCATGTAGCCTACTAACACCCCCTAAAATATTCAACTGTCCGTTTGGGGGAAGATATTGGGATAGAACAAATCCCAGATACCTCGCTCAGCCTACAAATGTGTCATAATAAGGGCACCCGAAACTGCTGCACCAGCTAGAGAATCCCCCAGGTAAAAATAACAGAAACTCCGTTCAACCGCATGATTATATTAGGGCGCTCGACTGGGTAGGGCTGTAACTTGTATGTTATGGAAGGGGATCCTGTCACAGATATACTGATTTAAAATCTTTGTTAATGGCAAAAGACCCTACGCCAGTGGCGCTTCGGAAAAATGACACACATCGACACGTTCAACGAGCATCCCCGAAGGGGCAGTTTTTGGTTATAATTGTGACAGATTAAATGCGCCATATTAAATGGCTTAACATTGCTCACCAGTCCTGAAAAGGACTCTTGTAGTGTTGATGCGATCACTGAAGACAGACCTGAATACTGTCCTGACATTCGACGAAGTCGTCTACTGGCCAACGAATGGGCATCACAGTAGCCAATGACGAGTATGTGATGTGAATATGGGCAGTTTTAAAAGGAAGAAATAAATGACACATTCAAGAAACAGCAATTCAGATTTAATTAAAGACTAGACATTACAGTATTTACTTCCCTTAAATAATTCATATTGTAGGATCACGTGTATCATAGTTTACAAAACGATATACACTCGATTCTCTTATCTAACACGATGTAGTGTATTTTCTCAAATTGCTTAATATGTCAATGTTTCCTCACATCTAACTACAGAAGTTTAAATACTAAATAAGTAATTAATGTCCTTTTCTTTCTTTCTTTCTTTCTTTCTTTCTTTCTTTCTTTCTTTCTTTCTTTCTTTCTTTCTTTCTTTCTTTCTTTCTTTCTTTCTTTCTTTCTTTCTTTCTTTCTTTCTTTCTTTCTTTCTTTCTTTCTTTCTTTCTTGCTTTCTTGCTTTCTTTCTTTCTTTCTTTCTTTCTTTCTTTCTTTCTTTCTTTCTTTCTTTCTTTCTTTCTTTCTTTCTTTCTTTCTTTCTTTCTTTCTTTCTTTCTTTCTTTCTTTCTTTCTTTCTTTCTTTCTTTCTTTCTTTCTTTCTTTCTTTCTTTCTTTCTTTCCTTCTTTCTTTCTTTCCTTCCTTCCTTCCTTCCTTCCTTCCTTCCTTCCTTCCTTCCTTCCTTCCTTCATTCCTTCCTTCCTTCCTTCCTTCCTTCCTTCCTTCCTTCCTTCCTTCCTTCCTTCCTTCCTTCCTTCCTTCCTTCCTTCCTTCCTTCCTTCCTTCCTTCCTTCCTTCCTTCCTTCCTTCCTTCCTTCCTTCCTTCCTTCCTTCCTTCCTTCCTTCCTTCCTTCCTTCCTTCCTTCCTTCCTTCCTTCCTTCCTTCCTTCCTTCCTTCCTTCTTTATTTATTTCTTTCAGAATATTCCATTTGGGGTTGCAACCGGAAGGGTTAAGCAGACTATCAACAAAGTAAACCCTTCTTTAATGTGCGTCACCTTTCGAGCTCTGTCCATTGTAAAAAAAAAGGTAGCTGCATTTCGAATTATGTATTCCGAATCGCAAAATGTTGCGCTTTATTGAAGCAGCCAGAGAAAATGGCGTCGGACTACATTTGTGCAGTTAAAAAGACAATGTCGTGAGCCTAATCTGGTAAATCAGAGTGTAGTTGATATTATATTTAGTTATAGGGATTCATTTAGCCTATTTCGTATTTCAGTAGGAATGATTCACATTATTGCTTCGGTGTATTCCATTGTTACCCCCCCCCCCCCCCCCCCCCCCCCCCCCAGTTAGAAAAAGAATTCTTGCTTGCTACATACATCTAGTTTTAACATATGAATGTGAATCCTGGACAATCGGTAGGCAGGCCAACCAATTTTTAGAGGCTTCAGAAATGTGGTTTTACAGAAGATTGCTTAGAATACCTTGGACAGACAAAAAGAGCAACCAAGAGGTTTTGAAAGAGGCGGGAGCCCGAAGACAACTTATCACAGACATCAGAAGGAGACAGTCATCATTTTTCGGCCATGTTATGAGAAGAGGGAAAATAGAACATGTTGTGACCACTGGAAAGATCTGTGGGAAAAGGGATAGAGGAAGACAACGAGAGAAGATGCTTGACAGTCTTGTTGCATGGCATGGAGGTGTGTCGGCACCCGAACTGATACATGCTGCATGAGATCGCAGATTATGGAGAGGCATGATTGCCCACGCCAGTCGGCAAGTCACCTGATGATGATGATGACCCCCCTCCCCGCCTCCCCCCTTTTTTTTTTAGTATGTACCATACGAGATAACGCGAAATATGCCAGGCAATACAGTTTTCAAGCTGGTGTTTGTGTCTTCTTTGCTAAGGAAAAAAAAAAAATAGTGACCGTTCATAAAACTGAATGTGTTATGCTATAGGTAAAAGCCTCAGTCTTTATTACAATACGTAGCAATAGATCAAGAAAGAATACATAACAAGTGGCAGGACGAGAACACAAACACTGAGGTATTTGAAAGAGCAGGTATTACAACCGGGTGCTTTCTTTTTAGCCAACCAAAAATGACGTCACGGGCCAGTCCATTATTTTAGAGGGTGGTAAGAGCGGTTTTTTCTGTGTTTTCTGTGCCTTACCTAACCCTTACGAAAATTATCGTTGCGAGTCTGACACGTAATCCAACGTACCGCGATCGAAACCCACTGCGGGTTGCGTGTATTTTTATCGTGGTATGGGAAGTCGCAGGTCGACCCAGCCTCAAGTGGGTACCAG